TTAAAATTTAAATTTTATTGATATATAATTGAAATAATTTCATTAAATAGATCTAAGCTAAGATATACATAATTTTAAATTTATAATAGATTACTATCAATTAATACAAGAATACTAAATAATAAAACTTTATAAACTCAAATCTTATATAATTTTAATAATACTTGCAAAACCATTTTTTTATTCTATCTACATTATTTTAAAATTTATAATATATTAATAGATAAGAGATAAGAATGATAAAATAGTAATAACTAAAAAATGTTGTGAACTTCATTTATTTGTTGCAAGAAGAATCAATATTTGAATTATAATACTTCTTGCTTAAATTCTCACTTAAATGATAATATCACTTTTTTTTTCTTAATAAAAAAAAATTATGCAAAATACAAGATTATATGTTTATAATCCAAGAACAAAGTTTTTTCTAACAAATATTATTAAATGTATATATATTTTAAAATATATGTATACATACATATATATATATATATATATATATAATTTTTGTATTTGTTATACCATCTCATCCAAAGTGAGTAATTATAATAAAATCATGAAAATTAAAATACAGCATACTTGATAGTATAGAACATCATTATGAATTTCAAATAAGAAATATTTTGAACACTCAATGACTATTTTAAACTAACTTTTTTTTTTTTTTTTTTTTTTTTTTTTTGTCTTTCAAAGTCAGTAAATTAAGTTGATTTGAAATTGAATAATTGAATAAAACATAAAGAACATTAAGTAATTAATATCAAGTGGTAGTATTGAAAATATTGTAATAATTTTGGATATTAGGTTTTAGTATAGATTGGGTTTATTTTTGGTGCTATTGTGGGCCCTATAGAAATGCTCCACAATAGTGGTAATTGTGAAAGTTTTATCCTTCTATATTGAATAATATCATTAAACTATTATCTCAAGCATGATGCTTTTAAATGTATGTAAAAACTAAATGAAGCTATTTATGGTAATTTGAAATCATTTTAATGATTTAACTTCATTATTAATATACATCAAATATAAAATAACGAAGAATATAATTTCAAATCCAAATTACAATGCTAATACAAAAAATAATGACAAAACCATATACCAGAAATAATCACCATGTTAAAACTGTTATTTTATTTTATTATGTAATATTTAATATAAGCAAAATCTGATGGGAAAACATTGAATTTGGCTTTTATGGATTTTTTTCTTTCAACATTAAGTTTTTATAATTCAGAATTATCTTTAGCAAATGATTTTAAGCATGTGGAAATTTTTGCACTCAATAATGTGAAGTTCTTTCTAATTCACATATGAAACACACTTGAACATACAGCACATCTGCATGTCCAATAACATTATACAACAATTAGCTATAAAGAGACACCCAATTATAGATAAACTTCACATCAACCTTCTGCTAATCACAAGTCAACTCATCTAATCAAGCATGAAAAAAAAACACATGGAGCAATAAACACCCACAATCAATCAAACCCACAAGCCATGCTATATACAATGCACATCAACAAATGATATAATTTCAAAAGCATAAAATAAAATATAATGAGATATTTTCCAACTTAGGAAACATGGTGAAGCATATCTCATATCCACCATCAAAACCCAATTACAACATCTATAACCGTAAATTACTATTGGGTTGGCAATTGAGTAGCAGGGTTTAAGTCATATAACAAAAGAAGAGAAAAATATAACAAAGTGCCGAACAAAAATGAACAGTGTGTATGTTGAAGGAAGTTTAGAAATTGATAAACAAAAGAGCTCATGCACGAAGCACCTGATTGTACACAAACATACTTGACAAGAAAGTAGCCAAGGAGAAGATCTTTGTGCTATATCGACAATGTACAATACAAACGATAGAGCACATACAAACTTGAGCAAGTTTTGTGTCAATCACACACATTTTATCACACAAGGACTTTCTGATATACGATGGTATAGCTGTCCAAACAACTGTAGAATGTTCAAAGCACCAAGGCTGACAAATAGTGTCTTGTCATATTCCTTGATGCCATACACAGATGACAACTTCACAAAGATAAGATTTTTCAAAAAGATTAAACTTCTTACTTTGACATCCCTAGTCGTATGTAATTATGTAAAGATGCCAAAAATTATTTAGAGACTTACTGATTGATCGTAGGAACTAATGTCTTCACTATCCAACAATATAAGATTGTTTTCATTTCCATCCGCAACTGTACGCTTAATAGACATACTCCACATCTAAAGTCCTTTCGTGCAAGGCTTCTGAGTAGTCACAACTTCAAATCCACTACTCTGTTCTAATAGCTAAAGTCGTGAAGGAAGTACTATTATGAGTTGGTATTCAACTAAAACAATCTCTCGACTTTAGATATATGATTATTGATACAACCTTAAATCTCTAGCCAATACTAACCTGCTACATTACTTTCAAGGTACTTAAGCTATTGAACGAATAACAAAGTCATAAAAAACTAGGCTCTTTCTCACTCCCTCTAAAATTACACCCAATTCTTTTATTGATAAATAAGAATCGTTTATAGAATGTTTAAAAGTGTTGCACTCACAAGATGCAAGATGTGTTTTAGATACAATTCTACATCCTCAGAATAAGGCCTCAGAAATTAATACTTTTTGGAAGACCTAAAGAGCAGCAAGTATGACAATATATTGACCCAGAGACTGTCAATAGTTTAATAGGTGCCATAAAACTCTAAAGTATCAAGATGAAGCTATTGCCTTGAAAAGCACGTCCACATAGAGAGACAACACACCAACAGGTTTCTTAACAAGCTGCAATGCTACGACTACTTTGGAATCCATTCAAAACTTACTCCTTTCTACACAATATAGAAATCGAAGAGGTTTTTGCAGACCACCTTGCAATAGTACTACATATGTTCGAAGATATTGGATGAGTAGGGCTGTGTACAACTGCAGAGGACTAGGTCTCTATTCTCTCTACTATATGATTTGTTTCGAGTTTATCCTCTATGTCATGACCAAGTCCAAATATCTTCAACATCCTATCAATCTAACAACTCTATCTTACAAAGCACTTTAAATTATTGTCCAATTATTTAGCTATTATGACCTGAGTGCAATAGGTTATAGCTTTAATAATAAAGGTGTTGGAAGAATTCAAAAATATGAATCTCTTGAAATTTCTTTCCTTGCATCAATTGTTTAGTCACTATGTTGTGCAATGCATATTTCTCCATCAGCAACATGAACACCATATCAAGAAACCCAACATACACAAGGCATTGCAAAAAGACTGCAAAAAGTATAGTGCTAAAGAAAAATAGTCAATACCGATAGGTTGGAATAATATTACTTGGTGAGAGAATTGTACTTAGAAAGTGCTAGTGCTTTTAGGTGAAAAGTTTTGAAGCACAAGATTACAACCTCCACAAAGAAAAGACTAACAATCTACAACTTCATAGACCAAAGCAATAAATTTAAGAGATTTGTAGTATATGATTTCTTCCTTGTTTAGGCACTTCACTCTTAACACAAGGCCTATTGTGCCAATTTCTTCTATTAGTAGGTATCTCTTGTTTATTTGTTAGAGTATAAAATCTACACAAAATTTACAAGTTACATGTCTAATTTGTAAGACAAGTTTTTAACATTTGTATTACATGGCTAATTTGTTGGCCAAGTTTTTAACCTACCAACCATCTACAACCATGTGTTAAGTCACATTTATATCTATAAAGCTTCTAAGAAGCTTTTCATAAGATGTTATCACATTTATCTACTTTTATCATATCGTATAGCATATACAAGAGAGTAAGAGGGATAGATGGTATTGAATGAAGATGTGTCTTTCAAGGTGTATGTGTTAGAATTAAGTACTTAAAAAGGCTTTAAAATTGAAGGCATCACAAAGTAATAAAAGAGAGACTTCAAATCCATAAATAAGAGAAGTAGTTATACAAATTAAATTATCAAAGTAAGATGTGTTGATTTAATATCTCATATATATATATATATATATATTATTTTATTTTCATAATGAGATATATATATATTATTTTATTTTCATAGTTAAACTTTATTTCATAACCCATTCATTGACTAATTTGTAAGCCTCATCAAAAATAAAGCCATTTAACTTTCTTATCAAACACACGTGAAGAACCTCAAGAAACTCCAATTGTGTATCATATCATCAATAAGAATAATAGATGTTTCAACAAGACTTAATGTAATTTTGTATTATTGAATGATGTTATTTTTATTTTTTTTTTATCTTTTATCTTTTGATTTTTAAAATTTACACATTAAAATAAGCCTCAAAGTATAAATTTGTTGTGCTCTATATGTAAAACTATAATATCTCTTTTTGCCTATAAGACACTTAAAAAAATCAAGTGGTTATGCAAAAAGGTGAGCTTTTACCTATGTAGAGACGTATATTTTTGAATAAACAATTTACACCCAGAATTGATTCAACAATTAATTGCACTTCATTAGCTGTATAAAAACAAAAGGAATTTTCAACGAATGAAAAAATAAAAGGATTACAAATAATTAAATTATCTTACACTCAATCTTATATATATATATATATATATGTACACGTACACATACATAAATGAAAACACTAATATTTACAAGATTAAATCATATTTTATAAAATGTGAAAGAAAAGCAAGTTTCATAATCTTGACACGTCACTGATTTACAAATAACAAGAATAAGAATCATAGAAAAAAATAAAAAAAAAAAAAAAAAAAAACTTTAAAATGCATCTATTAACGTATTTACAGACTTCGTAATAACCGATAGAACCTCTAATGCCAAATCTGGTTCCAAGCAACTAATCATCATAAGCTTTAAACGATTTGATAATGAGCTCATTTTCTGCTTTGCATCACTAAAGTTCTACTATCCAATAGAAGACTTCTTACTCACTCCATCACAACAAGCCTGGAATATATGATTATTGTTGAGTACATAAAGCTGCATCTTCTAATTAGATTTTTTTTTTTTTTTTTTTTTTTTTCTCTCTCTCTCTCTCTCTCTCTCTCTCTCTCAATAGAAGAGAGAAGTTGATATATGAAGCACAAATCAGCTGAATGAAGCACAAAAGAGGAAAACCCACCTGCATTTAAAGGCATTGAAGACATGACAGACAACATGCTCCCACCACATTGATATCTTGTTGAATATGTGAGTGCGGATTCGAAGCAAATTATACAAATGAAGCCCAGGTGGTTGTTTAGGGGATACGGTGATGCTTTTCGGAGTAGGTTGACGATGTTGTGCTGCAGAGACTCATTAAACTGTGGGAGGACTCTTCAAATTCCTGCAGGCGGCGAAAGACAGACAGATCCTCGAAACGTCTCTGTTTTCCTTCATAATGGAGTCCAAGACTTCCGGCCGCCATGAGAAATGATGAAGAAGACATGAGGCCAAACCCCTTCGCGTTACAGGAGTAGTCGACATCACAGACGTCAATATGTGCATTCAAGTCAGTACTTGTATTTGGGAAGGTAGAGGAAGTGTATTCCAGCCGCAGCTCTTGAGCCATGACAACTGCCACAAAAAAGGTTACTACGACACAAGCAGAAGGTTCATAAGAAGTCTAGCTCTTCAGGAATATTATGGCACTCAATCGCAAAACGCATGTGGCTGTAGTTGACAATGTCCAATTTGCCAATGTTGACTGAAATTCAACATGCTGTGAGTAAGAGTGAGAGAGAGAGAGAGAGCGTGTAATGGTTCCGAAAGTAAATTTAGAGTCGTGTGACAAACTCACTTACATGAGAACATGAAGACGATGCCGACTCTCGAAAACCCAAAATTCTCGAGTGGTTACATCATTTCTCCTACGCATATCGATGTGCGATGCTCTCTTTTCATACAAGAATTAATATCCAGAGCGTGCAAAGTCACGGAACGTCATTTGATTGCAATGCAGGAGAATCCCTCTGTAGGGACATTTCATTCCAATGTACCTGAAACTCTGAGACCATGGCCATGACTTCACTTACACCTTCTACTGCCCAGACATTGAATTGCATACATTCTGCTAAGAGCAGCGCTTGTTGACTGGAATGCGACCAAGGATCCCAATCATTAAGCAATATGATTCCGATTCCGTGCATTTTTGCCGGAACCTGACTACGTTTGCACAAAGCAACAAGACTCCCCTCTCGAAAACATGACGCGCAAGATATCCACAATTCAAAACTGAGAACTACGTAATAAAGTACCACAGGGGTAAAGTTAGCTCACATTTCCACGACGTCGCTTTCGCATCCTTACAGCCCCAGTACGTGCACAGAATAAAATCAAACAAACCCTCCTCATCCATTAATCCAGAAGCGCAATCAAAAGATCCAGAATCACATGCCAAAGAGGAAAATGTCGAAAACACATTAAATATTACAAAAAAAAACAATTTAACAAAATAAATAAATCAACAAACCCAAAACAACAATTAATGTTAAAATTATTATTATTTAAAAGGATTAAAAATAAAAAGGCCGCAATCATGCAATTAATCAGCGATTCTCCGGTCTCAGCGCGGCATTGAAACCGTCCAAATCAAGCTCCACTTTCGAGCCATGGCTGCAAATCTCTTGATCTGACAGTGCAGCAGGGCACGAGGACACCACACCACACCTGCGAGAGGGAATGGGAGATATAAATTCTCACCCCACCCCCTCGAATGGGCTTCTCTTTAAAGAGAGCTGCCAATGCAATTCAATTCAATTCAATTCCAACTTGGCTTGGCTTGGCTTTGGTCCAAGCTGCTGCTTCTCCTTCTCCTTCTTCTCTCCCCCGGGTAGTAGTATTAGTAGTAGTCGTAGTTGTAGTAGTCTGGAGTACAATCATTGATTCATTGGCCTGGGAGACTCGCTTCAATCAATCAAGATCGTATCTGCCGCGACGCACCCTCGCAAACAAACAGACAGCGCCGAGCCAGACCCTCAACCCATTAACTCACCCACTCACTCCCCCCCCAATCCCAATCCCCACTGGACCCAGAAGAAGAAGCAGAACGAAACCCACCCTCATTAAAGCAGCAACAACGACAACAATAAATAAATAAATAAAACACGCCAAAAAACAACGACTATGGATGAACTACGGATGTGGTTAGGTTCGTCGTTGACGCTTCATTGTCTTTGTGATGATTGTCATCCGTTGCGTGGGTTCTCGTCGATATGCAGCTGATCTGGACGAATCGTCGCTTCCGTCCGGTTCTCGTTCATCGTGTCGGGATGGGGATGGGAGATCGTGTTCGTCAGGACGTCGATGGATGAATGAATGGCGGATGGTGGATTTGCTTCATTCGTTTGGTTTTGTGAATGATGTGTGTTTGGAGTGCGTAAGCTTAGGTTAGTTTTAGGGGGTTTAGAGTTGAGTGGGGTTTGTTTGTTAAGTTTGTGGGTTTTGTTTAATCGTTTCTTATTTAATTATTTTTATTCTTTGCTTTTTAAGTTTTTTATTATATGTTAATGGGGGCGAGGAAGAGGCTGACTTGGAATGGTAGGTTGGGGGCGTCACTTGTGCATTTATTTAGGTGAAGGAGTGTGATGCCATGTGTTGGCTATTTCTTTGCCTCCCTCTTTACTTCTTGTGGTTTCCTACCTTCCATTTTGTGCTATGTTAGTATGGGTTTGTTAAGTTAATCTTCCTGTAGTCCGTTATTCATTCTTCAAATAAGTATTATTTGATTATTATATTTTGTTTGCTTTTAACACACTTTTGCACTATAGGTTTAATAGTAATTGCCCACATAAACTAGGGACATAAAAGTGGTTGATTTTTATTTGTCCAATTTAATTTGGAATGTTTTCTTCTCCTAACATTTATGAAACCATCAAATATAACATTTTTTTTTTTTTTTCCAACAATTGAAGTTTTCATGGATTTTTTTTGTAATATTAATTAAGTAAGACGTATTAAATTGTGTTTGTAATTTTATATTAGGTTATGAACGTGAGCATCCTATAGTGGGTTTTCTGGGGCATCTTCAAACATATTCCAATCTATATACAGTCAGGTCAAAAAATAGGAAAAACATTATGTCATTTATTTATGTTACACGACATCTGATATCAAAAAAATGTTTTCAAACTCCTCCAAGATAAAATGTGTTTATTTTATATTTAGCAATTGAAAGTTTTCTTTTGCACTACATCAATATCAACAAATGCACAAGAAAAAAACCGATTCATCAAATGTACTATAATTATATTTTTCTGCAACAATGAAAAAAGTTAAACAAAACAAAACATAACAAAAAAAAAAAAAAAAAAAAAAAAAAAAAAAAAATCCTCAAATTGTCAGTAATTAATTCTGCAACCCACATTTGTTAGTACATTCAAAGTGACAACGCTCACTGATTCATATTGGCCCGTTGGGTTTTATTTGATTATTATTTATATATTGCATAATAAACAATTGTTGTGTTAAACACAATAGGCACATCTTTATTTCTTTAAAAAGAACATACGAATAATAATAATAATAATAAAAATGAGCTTGTTTTTTCACCTGTGTTCTTCAATCGAATGAACATAAACTCTAACAATTTTTTTACCATCTTAATTTTTTGAAATTATTGTCGATGAATATGAAAGTCATTTTAATATATGATTTGATGTCTTGTGCAATTTGGGAAGTTAATTATCTTAATTAATTATGTAGATTCTGATATAAAATTATTCTACCAAAGTTGATTCTATTAATTGTTTGCGTTTTAAGTCACAGCATACATTTTTAAATAAATGTATCGGTTTTTTTACTTATTGTTTTTGTTTTAAAAAAATAAGCCATAATAGCTGGAACTAGAGTACAAAATGTTGCCAGTCTGCCAGTGATTACAACAACCCTTTAGAACATATTTATAAGTGCTCTATACGTATATTTACATGTATGTGTAGCAGTTTATTTATTAATTTGGCAGTATAGTATTATGTCAATTCATTAAAATCATAATGTTTAAACTAAACATGCACTATAATACTCAATTGCATTTACCATTTAATGTAAAATTTGTAGTTAGCAACTATTCAACGTATCTTTAACATTGTTTTAATATTTTTAACTATTTACTTAAATATATATATATATATATATATATATATATATATATGTTCTGTTTATTTCTTCATAGAATTCTCTTACGATAATGTCAGAAAATAGCAAAATATAATGAGTTCAGAAATCTCTTGTATCATTAGAAAGAAATCATTGGCATTTATAAACGATTATTGTACCAAATTTCTATTTCAAACATATTTGAATCTTTTAATTTTATCGATTTACTTCAGATACTACTTTTCCTCAATTAAAGACAGAATCCTACTTCAGAATAATAAAACATGTTATTACTCAGCTAACATGATTCGATGATAAAGAAAATCACAAGTATTAAATACACAAAGCATTTGCAACCTGTTCACAACTCTCAAACAATCTGTTCAATCTCTTAAAGAACATAACTTGCTAAACTTAAAACAAGCATATGTTGTCTTGCTTTCAAGTGTGAGTATATGTCAGCTGCAACAAATAAACAAACCAATCTTACATTTTTATTCCTCTTTAGATTCGCTCTCTTATTTCTTTTCATTATCACCGTTAAACCTTTGATGAGATTACTTAAATGTAAAAACAAGGGACCTTACAATATTTATACACATATACATACATTGTTGTTTTGGTTTTATTTTTAAAAAAAAATCCCCTTTTGTCACCATGTGTTGTTGTAACCTAACACCAAATTCACTAATCAGACACAATGGTAACTATAATGGTCTATCTGTTTATTTGGCTCCATCTCCTTGTTCCCAGAGCTCCCCTTCTTTCCCCAGAGGGCACACAACTGCACCAGAATATTAAAATTCCTAATATTTTCCTCATTATTATAATTGCACCCAATTGGAAACCATTGACATCTTTACCACCATCATCGTCCCCCACATGCCAATAGTCAAATTTATATATATATATATATATATATATATTGGGGTTGAGCTGTTAATGGGTTTCTCCTTTACTTTTTGATTAGTTTTAGTTTATATTATGATAAGATGTGCCTATTGAATGACAAGCACCCGGCAACAATTCCTTAAGGTCCCCCCCCGCTCTTTCTCTCATTCTTCCTTTCCTTTCCTTTAAAGTTCTGCTGACAAAATACAACAGTGGACTCCCATATTTAGACAGAGAGAGGAATCCATTAATTGGGCCAAAATCAAATCTGCTCTGCTTTTTGTAAAACAAGAAAGAAAGACAGAAAGGAGGGGGGGAGGAGGTGGGGTTCTGACACGTGGCGAGTGAGAGTTGGATGCTGGGTTCTGACACGTGCCGAGAGGGGGTTGGGTATGATCCCTCCCTTCCTTGGCGAATGGGGAGGAGGGAGGATAGTTCCCCTTCATATATATTTTGTTTCTATGTACACGTCATGGAAGGAAGGGAGTGACCCAGGAACACATCCTAAGAGAGGAATGAAAAGGATGGGAGGAGGGAAGGAACTGAATTAGGAACCTAATTAAAACCGAGGGCCCTCCTCCACTCTCTGCTCTCCTGTTCCACATGCCAGCTGACTAACTCAGAATGGGAGGGAGGAATCTGGATTGGATGAATGAGCGAATACACGGATGGATGAAGCTGTTGGATTGTGTGTTGTTGGGGTAGTCAGAGAGAGTGTGTCATAGTGACTAACTTGCTAGGATGATGAAGGACCACCCCCTGGAGGGAGTGGTATGGTGGTATAGTGGTAGTGCTGGTGCTGGTGGGGTTTTCATTGGATTCCTATGACCTAGATGTGTCTAGAAATTAAAATAAAAACCAAAAATAAAACTAACAAATAAACACTGACACTGTGATGTATGTATAAGGAGGATAGAAAGACACATACTTTTGTACATATATGTATGTGTGTATGTATGTATATGTTTGTCAAGGGTAAACAAATCCATACTCATTACACATTAATGAAGTTCACAGAAGATCAATTTCAAACATCTCAGGGGTGTAAACTTTTGGATGAAGTTGTGGGCAAGAATGTGTGTATGGCCATTATACAAGTTTCTCATAATAACAACTCCTTGGTGTATGACGAACCTTGGTTTTCTCCACACTAACACACCTCTTTTTCACCATTTCTATTGTGTTGTGTTGTGTTTTGTTTTTTCTTTTAAAACAATTTATTTATTTTAGGTTCCCCACGATAAAAATGATGTCAATCTCTCGAATAGGAAATTAGGTGGATTTCGCATCAAATTTAACGAGGCATTGAAAATGGAAGTTCTATTTTATTCGAGACAAAACAAAGGGGGATATAAAAGAATGGGGTGGAGGTGGGTCCAGAAATTCCCCAGCCAAGGCCCCACATCTCTCCGAATTCCTCCAAAATCTTGTAACCTCTGTAGTATAACCGGCAATTTGTCAAAGCCAAGGGGGCAACGGGTCAAGAGGGCTGGTCGCGGGTCCTGAGGATGAGCCCGCGCCACAGCCAGCCCCAGGAATGTGCGCTCGTCGGGGAAGAGCCTGAGACCCCCACCCCCCTCCTTCACCGCACCGTAAGAACCGGAATGGGGGCGGACACGGGTTGTTTAAAACCAGCGGGGGTAGGGCCGGCCCGGCTACGCCGGAAAGATGTCAGACCATCCCGAAGACTCCACCCAGTGGTGGGTCCACGGCTCCCGTGATGGGCCGAGGAAACGGGCAAATCTGGACCCGAAAGATGCCCCGTTCCCCTTGTCCCCATAAATAGCTATTCCAATGGGATTGATCTATTGGTCGGGTCCTAATAATAGGCAAAATAAAATCTTCCTCCTTGGGGCGGATGGGCGGGGCCCGCCCACCCCGCTCCCCCGCCCCCCTTTGATTGGATGAACCTCTTCCCCCTTCTCTCTCACCCTCCTCTACGTACCAACAGAAATCCCTGCTACCTCCCTACTGGATGCGCGACATGCCTTTTGCAATTTTGGCTTGTTTCTCTTTTTAGGATTGGTGGACGGTTCAATAAGCGAGGTGTGTGGGTACGGGTTGTGGGTCGGAAAATGGGTGTGTCAGAAGCCACCCACACACACATGTTAGTACAATTAAAGTGTAACTATGGGGAGGGGGGGGGGGCTACTACGGGGTTTGTATTGTGGACGGGGTGTGTTTCCGGCGCTTCGGATGGGCGGGGTTTAGACGTGGGTTAAATTTGGATTTATAGGGCTGATATGTTGGACCATTCATTTATCATTTTTTAATTTTTCTGTGATATGTGTGTGTGTGTGATTAGGGAGAGGTAATTAGGCAACTTGTGTCTTAGCATCCGTCATCCGCCCTGATTTTTTATTCACAATGAATACACATTTAGTCATATCTGACACCCAACGATTTTTCCCATCGCATACAATAGAATGAGCTCAAGCCTTGTCAACCCCCCCCCCCCCGGACAAGTGCAGTTAACAAAAGTAGAAAAACTCATCCACCCAAGGGCTGAATTGCATTGAGTGAAAGAGGAGGAAATAAGGCTGGGAATTGTACGTTCCAGGATTGAATGCAAAGGCTCGATGTTTAGACCACAAGCCACTGGAAAAGAAAAGGTACATCTATTCGGCCGCGGTATATACGACGTCAGTGGTACGCGACTTCCGATACCCGATACTGAATACACATAAAGTACGACTCCGGATACGGGTAGGAGCCTCGCTCAGCCTCCGCCTCCCGTCGCATGGGCTCAGCTCAGATTCGCTTCATCCTCGTTGTCGTCGTCGTCATCGCGGGTCAGATCTCCTTTTTATTTTTATTTTTGTTTTGTTTTGTTTTGTTTTTGTTTTTTCCCCCTACCGGAGCATCTCATTGGGTGCGAAGAGTGCTCAAGCGCACAAGCCCTGGCACTTCTTTTTCGTCCTCCTGGTCCCCGCACATGCCCGAGCGATGCGATGCGAGGGGAGGCGAGGGCGAGAGGAGGCGAAACCTACCTGCGACCTTCTCGAAGTCGTAGGCCAGAGCCTATAAGCTGCAGGCAGGGCTCCCGCTCCCACGCATCCGCCGCGCCCCCTCCCTCCCTCCGCACACCATCCCCCCCCCTCCCTCTTTCCTGTTTCCTTTTCCTTCTCTTCCTGATGCTCTTCTTCTTCTTCTTCCGCTCCTCCTCCTCCTCGCGGAACTTAAACCGCTCTCCCGCTTCCTTCATCTCTAGAATTTCCCCTTTCTAACACCACTCCCTGTGTGGACAATTCATTCCACTGCTGCCTGCCTTCTTTCCTTCCTTTCCTTCCCCGACGCGCACATGCTTTGCTTCTTTGTAGTCTCGCTCTGACCAGTGAGAGTGGCCATTCCATTCCATTCCGGTAGCAGGAGGGAGGGAGGCTTTGGTGTCAGCGTCGTAGTTAGTTTCGTGGGGGTGAGGTGAGTGGCAGGCAAGGATGAATGTGGTGGGATGAATGTTAGGAGGAGGGGGGAGTGTGGTCCATGGGGTTAATTCTGGGAGAGGACTTGGGAGTGACTGAGCACCTCGCCATGGTGTAGGCGAGACGGGGAGCGAGAGAGAAAGAGAAAGAAGCAGAGATAGACAGACAGATTGACAGACACAGACAGGAAGCGAGAGTGGCTTGTAGTTTTTGGATCCTCTTCGTCTCACTCCGCTCCTTCCCTTTTCAGCAACCTTGTTTCGCTTCACCGCCATTAAGCTTTCGTTTGTGAGCTTTACTGTAGTGACTATCCATGGTTGCTTCCTTCCGCCTGGAGCTGCTGTGCTTCTTGGAGTTAAGGGGGAAAGAGAAGAGACTGGGGGGGGGGGGTGGGGTTTGGAAAGACGGTGCTTTGCAGCGTTTAGTTGTGGCTGTTTCCAGAGGGGAGAGAGATGGCGATAGATGAATCGGTGGCATCGAGGGAGATCCAGTGAGGGTTCCTTGACGGAAGTTGAGTTTATTTATTTATTTTTGGGTTCGAGTTTCGGAGTTTTGCGAGAGGTGGAAGGGGGGTTGTGGAGAAGGGAGCATCTTATGGGGAGAATGGGGAGAAGTGACTTTGTGGGAATGAATGGCGTGGATGTATTTTTCTTTCCCGAGGGATAGTTTTTGTCGAGAAGTGTTTGATGGGAGCTGGAGGAGGTGATGCAGCGGGCCACTGTTCTTACTGCGTATCGTTACCATGGGTGGAGGGTACTTGAGTAGTACAGTAAACATGGGGGAATCACGGGACGGAGGGTCACCAGCCATGGCGACCCTACAGCAACAACAGAAACATCAGCCTCTGAACCCAAATCACCAGAACCCGAGAAATCGGTCGAATAGTAGCCCAACAAACTGCTATAGTAATACCGCTTGGGGGGCAAAACCTGCGAAATTGGACACTCCCGATGAGTTCCCTGTCGGGATGCGGGTGCTTGTTGTCGACGACAATCCCACTTGCCTCATGATTCTAGAGCAAATGCTCGTTCGTTGCGCTTACCGAGGTATCTTGATGCTCTCCCGCTGTTTTCGCGGTTGAATGTTCGTCGTTGTTTGGAAATGAAAGTGGAAAAAGTAGACAAGCCGATGTGTCCAAGAGGATGGTCTCTTAACGCCGGTCATTAGAAATCACTTGCCATGTTGCAGTCGCTTGAATTGGTCTCTTCTGAGACTCAGGTCAAGCCAATGCGGAGCTGTCAGAGAAGATTGAAAGAGTAGTCAAGGCTTTTGCTGTTGGTGGTCGGAATTGAGTGACTAACTCGGACGAGCAACTTTTTTTCTTCCGATTTGAACGACGTCAGTTTTTTCTTTTTCTTTGTTTTGTTTTTTTAACATTCGTTGTTGTTGTTGTTGTTGTTGTTGTTGTTATTGCTTTGTCGCAATCGACCAATATTAAGCTTTCAAAGAAGCCAAGCTTTTTTGATTTCTAGTCGCGATTGCTCTCCCGTCGTCCTTTTTCTCTCGTTAGTGAAATTTGCTCTCTACAAGTACAAGCCTTCAGACCTGTGCGGTTTTCCCCAGAGAGGGAGAAAGTGAGAGATTTATTATTTATTATTACTTTTAATAGACTCAATGGAGAGTTAAGGTCGCTTAACACGTCATGAGTTTGGTAGAGCCCAACAAGGAGTGATACTATGCACAATCAGTATTCTTATAAATTATTATGCCCGATCGTGTATAGAGGGTCTCCTTCTTCTTCTTCTTATTTATTTATTTATTTATTTATTTATTTTAATAATTTTTTTTATCTCTCTCTTCGATGATTTAGTCATCAAAGTTACTATGATAAACCTGTTGGGATCAAAGTTCATGTCGAAAAGCATCACTTAATATGAGGGTGAAGATTTCAGGTAAGTTTCTTTTCAGCAACTTCTGATCGATTCTCACCTCATTTCTGTGGGTATTATTGTTTCAGTCACCACCTGCGGGAAGGCAACAGAGGCACTGTCTATGCTCAGGGAAGATATCGGCAAGTTTGATGTTGTCATCAGTGACGTTGACATGCCGGACATGGATGGATTCAAGTTGTTGGAGCTTGTTGGATTGGAGATGGATTTGCCTGTAATAAGTAAGTGAAATATAACAGCTTCATCTGGTGCTCCATGGCACTCGTCTGTAGATATGTTCTTTAGAAACTCCATGGTTTCGCTCCGCAACCCGAGTTGTATGGTTGCGGCTTCTATCGCTCCCAGTTTTATTTTCTGAATTTCGATGTCTTTTTCTGTACTTGCAGTGGTGTCTGGGAATGGAGAAACAAGTGCAGTCATGAAAGGTATCACTCACGGTGCCTGCGATTATCTTCTCAAGCCTGTGAGAATAGAGGAATTGAGAAACATCTGGCAGCATGTGGTGAGGAAAAAGCGGCGAGAAGTCAAAGCTGTGGCGACGAAGAGCGTCGAGGAAGCTGGTGGATGTGAGAGACCGAAGCGGGGTGGTGGAGCGGATGATGCGGACTATACTTCTTCTGCTACGGATACCACTGATAGTAACTGGAAGTTAACTAAGAGGAGGAAAGGAGAATTTAAAGATGAAAACGAGGAAGATAATGAGCAGGAGAATGATGACCCGTCTACTTTGAAGAGGCCACGAGTAGTGTGGTCTGTGGAACTTCATCAGCAGTTCGTCAGTGCCGTGAATCAATTAGGAATAGACAGTAAGTCCGGGAAAACCCTTGGGATGTTTTGAGAACCTTTCTTTACATGAACTTCTTTTGTAATTTTGCATTCATTGTGGCTTTAACACGTTTGCTTAACCATTTGGTTTCACAGAAGCCGTTCCCAAGAGGATTTTAGAGTTGATGGGTGTACAAGGTCTCACACGTGAAAACGTTGCGAGCCACTTGCAGGTAATACCTGCGACTTACGCTACTCTTACAGTATTTTCATTTGTGCAATGTGAGTATCTTAAGATAGTTAATGAGTTGCACACGTGTATTCATTTCGCTGAAAAGAGACATCTATGCTTTGAATTATAATCCAACGCTAACACGACGTCAGAAGGACGAGACAGAGTGCTTTTAATATCTCCATGGTCAAGCTTATTCGTAGAGTGCCATCACTTATTTTTTCGTCTGTATGCTTTGTAACTAGTGTTCAATCTACTTATAGACACTTCGTTTCACCTGGTTTTACAGAAATACCGCTTATATTTGAAGAGACTTAGTGGTGTCACGAGTCAGCAGGGTAACATGAGTGCGCATTTTGGAGGATCTGACCCATTCTGTATGATGCCTCCTGACATGAGTCTAGCAAATGGGCAGCTGACTCCTCAAGCGTTAGCTAAGTTTCACATGTTAGGTAGGATGAACGCAACCAATGGAATAGGCTTCTCTGGTGGCGGCCTTGACCCTGGGATGAACCAGATGTTTTTGCAAGACTTGCCTAGACCACCGCAATTAAACAGCATGCTTAGAAACAACACTGGGCTGCTTGCCTCTGTCCCCAACGGCTTACAACATTTGGAGCAGCTATCCGAACCTCACCACGTGCATGTGGTGAATGAATTGGAGCACTATCCTTCTAACACCAAGGTCTATCCTCAGTTGAATGGGAACCTCGATGTGTCAGTCGGACCTCTAGGTGCCGCGAATGGAAACCTTGCCTCAAATCCCAACAGTGACACATTGTTGATGCACATACTACATTCAAGGGCCTCTCAGCAAGGCGTGGGTTCACCATCAACTTTGCCACAACCTAGATGTGGTCTAAACCCCACTCATCTCCTCTCAAACGACATCAACTTTGCTCCTGTAGGTTCTTTGCCCAACCTGGCTGGAAGCTTGGGCCCTGCAGTTGGGTTATCAGCAATACCGGGGTCGGCTGGTGGAAGGGATCTCTCACCTTCAGTAGGTGGCTCAGGTGCTTCACTATCAAGCCCTTTGGGCAGTTTAGTTCGTCGGCCGTTAATGGCTGAGGAACAATCCAATCCCGTAAATTCCACAAATGGCACCTATAGCATGGCGCATTCTGGCCAGTCACCGAAGCCCAGCGGTGATACGTTGCCTACCCCGTTGAACGAAGGCTTGGAACAACAGCAGCCACTGTGGGCATTATACCAAAACCCTATGAACCAATTAAGTCACGGACCTTCCCAAGGGTTTCCTCATGACTCCCTGCAATGGTCGGTATTGACAGAGAATTTAAGCTTTGGAGATATGGGCCAGTCTCTAAGTGCGGGGCTGATCTCGCAGTTTTCATCTCAAGGCCAGGACAATGGGATTGGGTTTGCGCCTCCCAGTCAGAGAGGGTCATACACTCGGCAGAGTGTTAGCTTCCCAGCAAGTTCTGCACTGGATGGCAGAATGGTCAGGTCCTCGTACGAGCCGTGAGGTATCTAGTCAGGTCGAGACTCTGAACTGGAACACATCCACAGCTGGGGTTGCGTAGTGACAATTAAGCTCATTCTATGAAAGTCTCAACTGGAAAACAACTGAGGGTTCTACAATAGTCTGCTCAGAGTTATATCCCCTTATATTCTGTCTATTCAGACAATCTAGAACTACTACTCTTTTGAGGTGCTTTCTTCAACCTCCCATTGTGCAAGTAGTTCGGAGAGCCCTTAAATTGTCTGTCGATCAGCCACTAGGCCTTGTGTCGTTTTCTGAATGGGTCAGACCCTAGCTTTCTCTAGAAAATCCGCCATTTCCACCACGTTGGCTCTCTGTGTCCTGGAAGGTGGTGTGCCTCATGCTAGTCACAAATTCAGTGACCAGTTCATTCAGCAACCCAGACAACGTCCACATCGCGCTATGGTGATCAGTCTTGGCGACCTGCCGGCGGTGGACACAACGAGGAGCGCAGCAGCTAGAAGCTGTCAACATAGTTCCAACCTTTCTGAAAACCCCAGGCCAGTGTTTGTACCTGTTGCACTACCCGAACCTCCTCCTTTGTGCTTGACATGCTTTGCACATTCTTCAAGGTTGTTTACATCAGCTGCTGCTGATGCCTTTTGTGTAGAAACTGCTCACCAATATCCCGAACTTGCCCTAGAATCTTTGGAGCTCATGCTAGGCAATGGAATCAGACACTCAGAGAAAGGGATGTCGGTCTTATTCTCATGTTCTGGGATTTAAGTTTGAGACTTACCACACCAGTGTTCTTCACTGTGATGGCAACAGCCTTGAGGAGTGGTGATATCTGAGGGTATTAGTAGTAGATAGAAGAATCCGGCTTTGTCTCTCGAGAAAGGTCCGGAGTTGAATCAAACTCCAAGCTCGCCGTCAGTATGTATGCAGTCTACAATACCTTAGAAAATTCAATTCTGAAGCTGAGAACGCTTGAAAATTGTTTAGCTATGCTATGGTTGGACTCTTTTATGGGAGTATGCTTTTGTAACAAGTTTTGTAATGTTCCCAAATTTAATTTGTCAATTTCAGGTAATGTGCGTGTGTTAATTTATTTTTTTATAATTAATTTAAAAAAAAATCCCCGACATTTTGAAGCTTTGTTGCCACACATTGTCGAATTAGACTAATTTTGGACATGGAAAGCAGCACTGATTAACAGAGAAAAACAAAGCTCGCTTGGAATGCTTCGACGCGCACTCTCGAGGCCCATCTATCCTGGACCAGTATTGATCTCCCTCGCTGAATTGTGAAAATTCATGAGCTGCGTCTTTCTAGTATTACTGAGTGGGACCTGTGCTGCCAACCCATGAAAGTAGAGCTGTACTGGGTCATACCGCATTCTCACTCAGTGTGAGAGACAATGCTTAGGGTCTCTTTAGCGCTTAGACAAAGGAAACATCCTTGTTTTGATGGGGAAAAGTGAGGAGAAAGGGTGCACCACAAGAAAAATAAGAATTTGTTCATAAGTTCACATCAAATCGGAAGCCAGCGTGGCATCAGGTAGATGTTGCAGTATGGCCCAACCCTGACACTAGAACAAGTGGGTCTGGAACTGCCAAGTAAGAAATGCCAGAAATGCTTTGCACAGAAGAATCCACAAATACAAACAAATCCTTCAAATGTGTCTAGGAAGTCGCTACTTGGCCTCGATTTCACTTTTCTAAATTGCTTCAACCTCACTTTTTCTCCGTCGGCAGCATCCCCGACCAGAGTTTGATTCATTGCTTTCAGTGTCTTCCAAAAGCCTCGATGTGCTTCCCACCGAACCCACATCCATACAATTGAAAATGATTGTTCGAAAGCTTTAACATGTACCACAATGTGTACCGAAATAGAGGACCTAGTTTCCACCAGCACTGAACAAAATCTGTTAACCAAAAATGTACTGCGCACAAAAGATCCATAGTTGGTAAGTACTCCAGGTTGTGGATAAATAACGTGAGAATTTAAACAAGCAGAGTGATGTATGTTTTATTTGGTTAAAGCTGGAAAAACAAGTATTAAAACTCTGGGATAAAGTTTTTTGGTAGTCTTAAGAATTAAATGCTCTGGTGAAGTGAATGTGCTTCACCACTGCCATTACCCTATGGATGATTCTCACAAACCGTAAAACCATGCAAAATACAGTGTAATGAAAATTTAAAATTTTCATACAAGGTATCAATAATAATTTTCATTACTTTTAAAATAATTTTGAATTTCTTAAAGGTAAGATACAATTTTTTTTTAGATATTAGAAAACCAATTAAAAAATCTTTTAGAATGATTTGAAGTAGAACTTCTGATATCTTTCATTTAATAAAATATTCCTTGTAGTGGTAAACATAATTTGAAAAATTTGTTGAATATATAATATTTTTGTAAAAAAAAACTTTACAAACGCCAAAAAATAAGATTTTAAATATGTCTCTCTCTCTCTCTCTCTCTCTCTATATATATATATATATATATATATATTCTTATTGATAATTTATAATGCAACAAGTATATTGCTCTAAGAATTTGTTGATACATTTAGAATAAAAAAAGTTTTATAAATAATTATTTTTAAAATATTCATTTTTTAAATTATTCTAAAAATTAGAATTAAATCGTGGCCTATGATCTAGTACATAGTCTCTAAAAGTCTTTAAATGTGGTAGATATTATCAAAAAAAAACTTGTCTATTTTTTATAATCCTTTATATTTAAAATAGGTTCATTTTATACATTATAAAATATGATTTTTATTTTTATTTTTTTATTTTTAATTGAAAAGGTCCACAATTTCCAAAATTGAATCTTAATTATTTAGGATTTGAAGAGCTGTAATAATAGCTATTAAGAATGATGACTATTGATTTTTTTGAATAAAAAGTGGTTAAAGCTAACTATATAGAACAAGTCTTAGAATCTTCACACTCATATATTAGGACATTAAATAAATATTTTTATAAACTTTTATATTTATAAGCACTAATAACTTTTAAATATATATTATAGTTTTTTAAAAGTCAAAATGTCTTGTACCAGGAAGGTTATTTTATATTTGAACAATGCAAATGTTTAAAAGTCTAAGAGGTAGGCAAAATAATCTCTTAAGGGATAATAATTTAATCTTGAATCATTATCTTTTCAACCGTTCGTATATTTTTTTTGAGTATTTTAAGACACTTGTTATTCTTTGGTATCTTGCATTTGTCTTGTATAAATTTTATATCATCAAAAGTTGACATTAATATTATGCTTAAGTATAGGTGTGTTGGTTTTAAGATTTTAAATATATATATATATATATATATATATGTGTGTGTTATTTTAGTCTATCACTACATTTATTTTCTTTATTTCTTTATAAATAAGACTACATATAATACAAAGACCAAAACAATACTTAGACTACTACAAGTTATATCTTTGCAATAGAAAAGACTTGATCTTGTCTATTTTTTACGTCATTGCAAATAAGTTTTGTAGAAGCTTCTAGAGGAGGTCCTATAACATATAAAAATACTTATTAGTATATAGAATCTATTATAGACTCTTCTAAAAGACTAAAGAAGATTTTAGACAATAAGAGATGATTGTAGATGCTTTAAGAGGACTATAAAGAATTCATAAGCTCTTCTAAGCATAAATAACTTAAAAATTCTAAATATCTTTGTTGAAACATAAAGATCTATAAGAATTTAGACATTTCTAAAGATCTATAAAAATTGGATTAGTATTATAAAACATTTCAATACTATATATATATATATATATATATATATATGTTTTTAATTTGCCATAAAATTTAAATAATAAAATTAACATAAGAATCTTTAGACATAATTTTAATTGATGATCATTTATTTTATTTGTTTATTAAATTAATGTGTGGCATGGGTCATGTCTACGCAGTAAAAAGAGATATTTACACAATTAAAACAAAATGTCCACCTAGTGTTTTCTAAATTTCAATGCATTAGGTTAGTAAAGAAAATATGACTTAAAGGTTTTTTATGCAAAGAGGTTAATATAAAAATATATTTTTGGTATAACAAGTACTAAATAAAAAATTATTAGTTTTTAATGCTTAAATATTTTTAATATAGAAAATTAAAATAATAATATTGATACTAGCTAACTTTAAAGATATTTTTTTGAATAATTTGTTAAGATAATTAGATAAATTTATATATAATCTGATACATATATATATAATCAATATAAAATCTTAAATTAATATTTAAATTTTTTTATATCTATAAATAAAAAATAAAATACTTATTTTTTATATAATTAAATATTTTTTATTAATATATTAAATATCTTTAATTATTTTATATCAATATGTTTTTTTGTTGTATAGTAAGTAGAATTTTTGTTTTTTTATAACTATTATCACATTATTTGTACTAATTTTAAAGATCTCTAGAATTTTATTTATTAGCATGTGATGATAGGCTATTAATACTAATTACATATTATAAATAAGTCAAAAGGGATTTTATACTATTAAAAAAATTAATAACCAATATAATAACTAATTTTTCTATGAGAATAAGGCTACTCTCTTTGTCTTTTCTTTTTAATATCAACTTACATCAAAATAATAATATTTGTATATCTACGTCAATCTAATTAATTCGTGTTTTATTTCAAAATTCTTTGATTTACCAAAGGGAGTTTCGTATTAGAAGTATTTAACTATGATGCATATGTTAAAAAATATGTAATGTTATTAATCTAATGATAAAGATAAATTCCTTACATGTTGTTCTTTAAGTCTATAAAAAATTTGGTTGAAAAAGTACCTATAACTACTATTACTAGTAACTTATACTCTTTAATATTTTTGAGATTCTAAAACTCTAATTAGACTTGTTTCAACTCTTGTAGACACAATAGAATAAATTTAAAAAACATATATTATTGATACATATTTACTTCTAATTTCTTTAGGATATTAATTTTAATACCTAAAAAAATTAACATTATTTAAAACCTACTTTCAAAGTTGATATTTTATCTATCTATATAAGATCCATGAAATACAAATATATATTTTTTAATCCTGGTTAAATTAGGTTAATTATATAAATCTGACCAGTTAAATAATCACTTTTTTTTAAATTATTTAAAAAAATAATAATTATAGGAATAAAATAGATAAAATTTTCTTTTAAATTAAATTTTAAGTTTAATTATTTTATGTCACTGGCTTTTTCGAATATAAAATAATTTTAATTTTTTGTATGTTCTATAAAAGATTGAAAAATTGGGTATGATTTATTTTTAATTTTTATTTAAAAGAAAATAATATTCATCTATTAAAATTTTAATATAATATATAATTAATTTGATATTGCAAATAGTATGTGCTTTGAAATGCAATAATTCTTTTTTGAAAAATATCATTTTAAGAGTTTAGCCATCTCATTCTTATATATTATTTAAAACACATTCTAGGATTATCTTTTGGTAATTTATACTTGGATTATTTTTGAAAAGTGTACATCAATTTCTAAGATTTTCTATAATTCTCTTAGTACCATGGTTTTTGAATAAATAATTTTAGAAAACGGTAAAAATATTTTTTATAAAATAAAAATAATTAATATTTTTTGATATGTCGAGTTAAAATATAATTTTATTTAATTCATGATTTAAAAAAATAAATCTTTGAAGAACTAATGTTGTATTATATCTACATCTAACAAAAATATTTATAAATCTTACAAGAACCAAATTCGACCTATATACCGTTGTTTGATTATTGATGTTACTTTTTGAAGCATTTATCTTAGTTGAAAGATAAAATTTTAAAATGATATAATATTTTTTATTTATATATATATCTATAAATATATAATATATAATGATTAAATATTTTATTACTATAATACCTAAAATATAATAAATTTTTATTAATTAAAATAAATTTAATAATTTGATAATAAATAACTATAAAAATAGATATTTAAAAATAAACTACACACATCTTGCAAAAATAATGTATAAAATATATTTTCCATTATTGATGCAACTAAGATATCAAT